ATCTCTTCAGATAAACAGTGAGACACTTTGTAGAGCCCTACCACAGAGCAGCATGTGGCACCACTCCTCATTACAAATACCCTCCCAACAGTACTATGACACAAAGGGAAGGCTAACATAAAACAAGCTTCTTGCCAAATGCTGCTGAGATACTATGTTAAGTCTCCATTTTACGTTCGGTGAAGGGAGGCTGAAGGCTTACATGTCCTTGGTAATAAAATCCACAGACCTACACACAGTGAAGACTAGGAAGGGTTCATAAAACCAAAGAAAGCAGCTTTCTAGTTATCTTGGATTTTCTTCTTACTGCAAGGGACTACTACTAAAACTCACAAATGTGGGACTTCTGTCTGAGGTTTTTCTTTGTCATTTTGTTTTTGGTTTGGGGTGTGGCTGTTTTTAATAAATACAAGCAGAAACGCACCACTTTCAGGAACAATTTCTGTATCAAGTTTGAATCTAAGGAACCCTCACGAACGCAGAGCATGTATCATTGTCTTGGAGGCTACTGACATGGGTAAGGAACTGCAAACACCCCCCACACTATGCCAGTGCTGTCACATGTCTTTTAGTATCTTGCTGGCTAGGTACAGCAATCAGGCTCTGAAAAAGCAAGGTGCATCAGGTAAGTTTCCACAAGGCTGGATTTTATTCTTCTACCTGTATGCATGCTATGCATTCCTCCCATCTGGAGAGCAATTCAGAAAGGTGGAATCAAACTGAGTAACCTTGCTCGCATTTAGACGTATCTTGCAGCTAACAAATTAAAGCATGTTAAATCCTTTACATAAAAGGTTCACAGTATTTTTAAATTGCCAATCACTTCCAGTTTACGAACAAAAAGGATTCCTAACCTGATGTGTTAGTTTAAAAATAATTAGGGAAATGTAAGACTGCATGATAAACAGTTTTTAATATTGTAAACAGAAAACTTTTGCAAACCATTTTACCATTTCATCTAAAATTCGGACTTCAACTCCACTTATAATCACACAACAGAAAAACCTTAAGCCACAAGGCTAGAGGTTTGAAATTATTTCCAACTTAAATAAATCAGTTCCTATCCTAGGCTATTATCATCACTAATAGCTATAATTTTTAGACTGTGTCAGTTATAACAAATGCCTTTTTTTTTACCCATATAGTAAATTCACTAGTCCTGGTTTACCTTCTGCATTCATAATGCACACATCCCTTTTTATAAGCAGCTTGAATTTTAGATAAATAAAATTGTGCAGTTTGCATATTCCTTGGAAATGTTATCAGCTTATGGAAAGCACTGAAAAAATTTTCATGCTGATGCAAGACAGACTTGATAAAATAATTCCTTTGAAGGCGTAGTGTCTTCACTGTTTCAGAACTTCACCAACGCATGCTGTAGTCTGTGTGCTAAACATTCATTTAAGGAAACCCAACTGGCAGCAAAGCTATCCAGTGCTGTGCTAGCCAGATTTGCAAAACAGGCAGAAATTACTCTAAAAGCTTACTATATTATGATCCGCTCAACACATTTTTTTAAAAAACGAACCAACAAAAAAAAATCAAGAAACCCCACCTGAAAACACACAATACACACACCCGCCCTAACCATAGTAGTTTAGTTTAAATTATACTAGTTTAGACTGCTTGGTATTTTGGCAAAACTCAGGATTTTCTTGCACACTATGTATTTAAAAATCACATTCTAGAGCATCCAGAGGCAAATGAATTAGCTTTCACTTGAATTCTGAAGACACCTTCCCACCCACAGAACTGGTAATAGCAGAGGATGGAACTGCCACACTAAGAGGCAATTCAGTTAGTGAGGTTCCACCTTCCTCCTCAGCGCTACCTCGTTATGAGATAGTAGCATTTAGACAGTTATTTGCAAATCTGTATCAGTGAGTCCCTGCATGGGTCAAGCAATCATTAGGGATTTTCCTTTTAACAGCACTGGGGTTTTTGGTTGGTTGGTTGGTTGGGGGTCTTTCAAGTTTTGTTTTGTGTTTTAAATTCTTTTTTCTCCCTCATCTTACAGCTGCGGCAGAAGTGCTGATGCAGAGAGGAAAGACGCAACAGTAGCTACCTGACACGCGTATCTGTATATGTAATAAAATAAAGAGAAAACATCAAATACTGTATTTTCAAAAGGAACAACTGTAGAAAAGGAGTTGGAGCTCTCAGAAGAACAGAGACAGTAAGAAGGGAAGAGCTGAGTAGGACAAAAATAAACAATTATGAAAATGATATGCATGAAAATAAACTGAGAACGACTTTACCTTTTTATTCATACCTTATCATTGCTAAAAAAAAGTTGAAACTGATGGCTTTTCACAGACTATTGGAATTTCACTGAGAGCATTTTAATTGAGCAATTTAGCTCAGCCTTACCAGGCACATGTAATTTAGTGAAAGGCAGGAGGGAAGGCAAATACGGCTGTTCCTCACAGATCAGAAGCTGGGAAGGGGTGGGGTTGCTGGCATTTCAGGGGGGGTGTTCCCTGCCCTTCCATTTCAGCAAAGCAAGTTCTAATTTTAGCTTTTCTAAACTTCACAGATACATATTTAGCTACAGAATCAGCAGTTTTGTTTCAGGAATTAATACTGGTCACAGCAGTAGAAATATTTGTGATAACTGTCTTATGAATTAAAAGCATTTAAAAAACCCTCAAACACACCAAAAATTTTATATACAAACTAGAACTCTTTCTTAAAAGTCTCATCTCACCTTAAACTTTAAATGTTGGATCACGACCTCTCAGGAGGCCAATAACCTTCCTTTGCTCTACATTCTGCAAATGAGTGTTATTTGCAATTCAAATTTTGGTTGAAAAATTCAAATTTTGGTGACTGCACCTGCCAGTGCTGCTTCATAAGAATCTGGTAACCAAATACAAGAAAGTGATGAAAACATTTGACTTAAAAACATTTATTTTATGTCCATGACTGAGAGGGCAGGGAGGGGTGATGAGATAAAGGAAGTTTCCTGATGGTCATCTCTCCTGAAAACATGGAATTTGCTTACCAATATATTACCAATGCAGTACCTGAACACCACAATAAATTGATTGCTGCATCTCACATATTATGACTACTCTGTAGATGCAACAAAGCAGCAACTGAATGAGCACAAAGGAAGAAAACCAAGGCAAAGCTGATCATCTGCTTGAGTCCCAGGTGCCACAGGAAACTGTGCCAAGACTAAACTCATCGTCCTGGCTGACAAGCACTTGCTATTGCCAACATCACAGTTTGCCCCTCTAAAAAAGACAGGATACATTTCTAGACAGTTTGGGGTTTTTTTAAGAAAAAAAAATGAGCGTTCACAAACGTTTCTGATTAATGGTTGATCCAAAACTGAATCAGTGTGTCAATAATCAACTTACTGCAAGCCAGGTGTTTTTACAGCCTGAGGGGAAAACAAGACATCAGCTGCTTCATCTGACACTAAGTTCTTTAAGTTCAACAGCAAATTGCGCTGCACATGCACAGTAAGCAAGACAAATTTTTCCATAATGAATCAGCCACATTGTGGGAGCAGGACACATGACAACTACCTGGGTTACTTATCTACCCACCTGAATATGCATATACAGTTTATCTGATCACTGAAATGATTGCGAAATAATCCTATTCAAGTGTATCAAGCTATCCCAGCATGAATTTGATACAGCACTGCACAATACATGAAACCCTAAAAACAGTCAGCAAAACAATCACATTGCAGGTATGTAGAAGTGACCACAGTTTGACAGAGGGGAAAGAATAAACAAAGCAGCATCAATGTCGATTTGCAAGTCGGAGAAAAACCTGCCTTACACTTTTCTGCTGGACAACAATGGAAATGCACAGCACTATAAAAGGTTGTTATCAGATTTATTAATAGATCTCAGTGATCCAACAGTATTTTTAGATGTATGTTTTAACACAAGATCTTTGCAAGTAAACTGAGAATTTGCCATGTTTGAATAGCCCTTATAAGACTAACGGTTTGTATCAAATAATCCAGCTGAGGTCAATACAAGCAATACTGTGTAGAAAAATGAGCACCTGAATATGCCAAAGCGTGATACTGCCAAAACTGAATATACAATATGTAGATGTTCACCAAAAAAAACCCCCGTTCCTTATTTCCCTTAGAAAGTAGCTCTAAATAAGACAAACTGACGAGAAAATAGGTTGAGAAATATCCTCCTGAAAGAGCTAGCGTATAGAAGTAATAAAGACAGCTTACTGACAGTTTTACACCAACCGAATAAAAACTCTACTTATCTCACAACAGGAAAAAAAAAAAAAATCATTCAGCAAGTAGGACACCAGATCAGGCCAGATGTTTATGGGACTAACACTGCGTCACGCAAATGTTGGCTCAGATCCAAACAATTAGGACAGCGCGATCTTAAGTAAGACCCTCTCCCTAAACTTCAATTTACTGGAATTTGTTTTACAGTGAATTTATAGCTAGTGTCAGAAACCTTAAAATACTAAAATCTCTAAAAGCACACTGTATTATACTTAACATTTCGTTACTTAGAAAGCACAGAACAGCATCCCATGAAATAAATCATTTATATTTAAGTCAAAAATTATATAATTTCAAATGGCTAAATCAGCACAGCTACCAAAAACAGAAGACATACTCTACCGATGAAGAAAATAACTGCAAGTCTGATACTGTCCTTAAACTACCACAATTTAAAGAATGGCATCCCAAAATACACACCTTGCGGTGTTCTACAGCCTACTGCATCCGAGCTGATTAAGCAGTGACATCAGCAGAGAAGCTCCTGCTCTCTAAAAGCATTGTTCATCACTGCAAAGTGCAGAGGGAAACAATTATTTCATAAACCCATTGTGAATGTATCATCCTTCCCTCCTCTTCAAGGAAATAAACTACAAATTTTTTTTAGATCTAAGTGTTCAATATACCTGCCAAAGTAAATTTTCACAGACAAAATCCCATAAATCTGACCACCACATTCAAGATTTTAAGGACTAGTAGGCAGCAATAATATACTTACAGGATTAATTCAGTTAACTTCAGGTATGTAAATGCAATCCTTATGCAAAAATAAGTGCTGCTTCTTTTACTCTGTTCTTTTTCCACGGCACGGACACACACACACACCAAAAAAAAAAAACCCAGAAGAAAAGCATAAAGAGAAAACGGATTCTGTTTTATTTCTCAACATCCATGCGGTTCCATTAACGAGTTATCAAGCAAAAAGAATAGAAGGGTAAAAGTTCACAAGCCAGCAGCTGGCATCAGAGGCACTCTCCATAGCCGAATTCAAAAGAAATGTCAGTTAGAGTAGCAGCAGCTACAGTCAATGCTGGAAGCTGATGCCTCTGCGGGAAGAGGATGCTGGGAGATTTTCCCAATCTGTGCTGCAGCCTAATTCTAATCCATCACTCCTAACTGCAAGGAGAAAATGGAGACATGAAGAACGCAAAGTGATTTATATTTAAAAGGCAAAAAGGGAAGCACCTCAGGGAGTTACCTCCTGAATAAAAAATAAAACAAAAAAAGATTTAAAAAAAAAAAAAAAGGAAAAGATGCTATAACTAAAGTCAGGCAGAAAAGGAAAAGTGTACTGATGCAGCTGCAGTAAAAATAGATCAAACACGTAAGAGTTGGTAGCAAGCAGCACTGAAGAAAGCTAACTAGCTTATGCTTGATTTTCATTATTTGGCAGTAGTCAAACAAATAAATATAAATATTATTTTATTTATTAACCCCTTGAAATTTTTCCCCCAGAAATCAAAATTTTTGGCTCATAACCAAACCAAATCAACAGCAGAGAGACAGCTAATAAACAGTTATCTTCATGAATACCAGCAGCAATAGGAGAAAGGAGGAGTCAGAAGCAAAACAGCTGCAACAGAGATAGTTTCATCCCCTTGGTCTAATCTCTCCAGATGAGATATGGGAAAGCTCAGCACGTGGGAGCTAAGCAGCAGAAAATTAAACTATGTCCCCCATCATTACCTTTGAAAAGTATTCTTTAAAGCTGTACTCCCTGGGCTAATAGCACCTACTCCTAGCTATGTTTGCTATCATGAACTGAGATTTATTCACAAAAAATGCCTCAAAGAAAGCCTTTAAAACACAATGTAGGAAACTATCAATTTTCTTTTACCCATTTCAGACAGGGGCTATGTAATACTTCAAATCAATCTACTTAAAAAATTTACTTCTGAAAATACAAGTAAGAATGCAACACACTAGGAAAGAGTTGCACAGTATTTCTTAAAATACCTGAGGAAACCAAAGGTTATGGATCAGGTAAGACAGGCTTTGCAGGACAGATGAGATGGACAGCTGTAACAGCACCTTTAAAAATCAGGATGTGCCTACCTTTACCCTGAAATTTTGCCTGACAGTGTTAAAAACCAAGGAACTGAGAGATATCCAAGTTCTTCACCATGTGACTTAGAAGCAATGCTTAAGTATATTGTCACTTACTATGTTACCATTATTTGTGGCAGAGAGGGTCAAAAGTGCCAGGATTTCTCTCATCCTGCTTGCACATGAAAGGTAAATCCGTTTTGAATCAAGGTTGAGCAGTAACGTAAAAACATAAAAAAATAATAAAAAAAAATCATAAAAAACATAAAAATCATCTCAGTTCACACACAAAACATACCATGTGCTGACTTTAACGAAGCTAAATTGAAGACAGTCCACACCTGAGGCCTCAGAAAGTACTTCCCAGTAAAAGCTAAGAAAGAGTCAGCAGTACGTTTCCGCAAAACTGACGAAAGTAAGCTTTCTGTCTGCAAGTATCAACACACATTCAAAAGATTTTCCCTGGACTGTCTTAAAAAAACCACTAGAACAGACTCAAAGCCACTTTCCGCTCAGACTGTTTCCCAAAAATGCAACAAACCAAAAAACAAACCAAACACAACATTGTTAAAGACCACAGATCAGAGAATATTTTTTGTGTTTGATATTTTAAAATTAAGAATGTGGCAAATCTGGTTTCCAATCCCTTTTCCCTAAAAACAACCCTCCTCAGTATCTGAGCAAATTATAGCCTACAAGTTATGAAAACACAGGATAAACATTAATTCCGTGAAAGGAATTTAAAGAAAGAAAACACAGATGCAATCAACTAGGTTATGCCTTCCAGCACAACATCAAGATTCCAACATGACAATTAATAAATTTCAGGAAACTCCGTGAACGCCCACCCAAAAAATACTACTCAAGTTTACTGTCATGGTGTTAATTTATTTTTCATGGAAGAGCAAGCCACGAGCCGCAACACAAATATTTAGGCTCAACTAGGAGAAGCTTATTTTGGTAAACACTGGATCACAGAAAAAACAGGCTGTGGTATCCTTCTGTGTGCCAGCCTTTCAGTGAAGGCTTGCAATAGAGTAGCACGGCGTGGAAGAGATGCAGAGTTTCAGGCAGTTCTGTGTAGAATGCCCCTGAGATATTCTGTTAGGGGGGTGCCTGGTTGGTTGTTTTGTTTGGTTTTTTTTTTTTTAAAACCCTCCCTCTCAGGTTTCCCACCTCCGACCCCCTTGCTTTCTAAGAAGCTATGGACACAGGTGGAATGGCGCATTTCAAAGTCAACAGAAAATACCAATATAAAAGTTTGCACAGTGTGGCCTGAAGACTTCTGCTCAAATACAAACACACAGAGAAATCTTACAGCAGAGGCAAAAGGTGTAGTTGCAATAAATATGTAAGAGTGAGGAATGACGTAATTATTGCCCACTCAAACCCCCTCAAACTTAAACAATTTATAATCCAAGAATTGTTTTGGGGTAGAGAAGGATTAACGAGATTAAGCTGCCGCTGCTCCAAATCTTGAGACTGACAATATACAGTAGCTACGAAAATACTACGTACTAGATACAAAAATCACCTTTACTGGACTTTTTTTTTTCCCTTGACCTTGGGGACCAAACATAAGAAAACTTTGATCATTTAAGTTGTCAGAGCTATTTCTCATCACTTTAAGACAATGTCAGACCATGTGTTCAAACATACTGAGACAAGCACTGTTCTTAAAAGTTTTTGGCTCCCTGAATTTAAACTTGAATTTAGGGCTGTTTCCTCAGCTGTTCAACTTCACTCACTGACAAAACACACATATGTGCAGGTATAACTGAAATCTTAACTACACTTCTGAGATTACAAGGATAACCTGCTCTAACTTCCTTAAACACTTCTGGCCCTTAATCTATCACCCCAGTAATACCACACAGAGCTGCTTTGGTAGGATCAAGGATTAACAGTATCCAGCCTTGGTTAGGAAAAGGAAATGCAAAAGAGGAATGATAACATAGCATTGAAATATGCCTTTTTCTGCTGATATTGATAAAGATTAAAAAATGCTAGTAATTCCAGTAGTCATGAAAAAAATCATACATCTTGCTTTTCTACAGAATTCCACCTTTCATCTTTTCACAATTTCATTTTTAAATGAGATCTCACTATCTTTCCACTGATGCCACAACTCAGGGTCTGGTGTCAGAAATTTCCACACAAATAGCACAACATGAAGGCTTCCTCTGCACATGAACTATTTGCAGCAGTCAAGCAGACTACTGTGCTTCTTCCCAATGACGACTACAGAGCATCTTTTATAAACATACCCAGGCAGCTACCATAATACAGTTACTCTAAGTGTTGTTATTAATTTGCATAAACCTCTGACAATGGGGTGGTAACTGAAAACAACATCTTGCCTTTACCTCAAAAAAAAAAAAAAAAAAAAAAAAAAAAAAAAAAAAAAAAAAAAAAAAAAAAAAAACCCACCAAGATTGCATGCCAACCCCCTTGGAAAAGCACAACAACTCAATTGTACCTTATTCCTGTCCCACACAAATGCCTTTTTAAGAAACAGTATGTAAAATGAGATGGAAGGAAATCCAAATACAATTAAAATTTCATACAAGTTCCGAACAAATTGACAATTTCAGAGGATAAAATACATACAAAAATCAAAATAGCAATGACAAGATGAGTATGTGCTAGGCATAATACGATGACAGTTAAAAATTGTTGAGAACTCAAACCTCTTTTTCCTGTAAAACCACAGAAGAGGTAATTTTACAAAAATTATACTCTGACAACAGACAACATGGATCTCTGTATTCCATAAAAATAATTTCTGAATAATTTGGGGGAAAAATAAGGTAGCAGAAATATATAGGGGGGGAAGTCATAGAAGTTGAGAATTATCTTGTTTAATAAGACTGAAATTAAATTTTCTGGTTTTTTCCACAACACAATTCAGGTACTGACAAAGCATTTTTAGCAAGAATTAAATAAAAGAAGAAAACACACATAAATCTGTTCCATCCATGTACGTTTTTGAACCTGTTAGATGCTTGGCATATAACAGTGTTAGCAAATCTGTTTCACAAGGTAACCTCAAAACTTAAAGGTAAGCAGACTCTCCAGTGGAAATGTAGAGAAATATTTGGTAAAAAGTAGCTTACCATCACAAAACTTCTTGGCAGAGGTTTGAATTTCCAAAACAGAAAAAAAACCATTTGTCTTCAGTTACTTGGTTGCTTTAACAACAAAATATGAAGATTTGAGACCAGTTCTGCATTAACACAATCATGTAACGGCAAATTTATTTTCGCATACATCCCACCTATCCTCTTGGTAAGGCTGAAGATGCTATATCAAAAGTTACCGCCAAGCCAGCACTTTGAAAACTTAGTAACTCTCTCTGGCAGAGAAGACATTAGGTGAATTGCTACTGCAATAGCCTACTGTAATACTCACTGGTACTGAAGCCAAAGAAAGGTTATAGAACGGCATTTACAGGTGGAACTCCATTTAATGGTCCCTCCACTTTTCCACAAAGTGTCTTGGGCTCATTATAAAACCTGTTTGGGAGTGGCTGTGTATACCCACAGTAGCCACCATGAGTAGAAAACCACAAAAGAGTCCAGATAAAGAATCTAATCCATTTAGAACATTGGAGCAAAGACTGATTTCCTGCTGGACCTGTCCTCAGATATGACAGCCAGCACTAGAGATTTAGGGAAGGATTTTACCCTATTAAGATAACTCATTGCCCTTTTAACATCTAACCTGCACAACCCGGTATCTAGAGTTAAGCAATAATATTTAGGGAATTAAGCCAGTTAAAGCCAAGTTAGATTAGCAAAACCATTTGCTAGCACTTCCTGGAGCAATACACACAGCAGTGTTATTCTATATATATTTCACATGAAGAATTAGAGAGTGGTATATGAAATATTATGAAGACATGGTTCCAACACATTCTTTCCGAATTCTTGAACCAACAAGTTGATCTGGCAGAATTTGAA